CCATGTACATCTTGCAGCTCGTACAATATGGCATGCTGGAGTTCCTAGTTTTCTGCCATGACCAATCACAATATGCGGATTCGGAAGCTCTGGAGGTGGAACCTTCAACCAATCCAGGGGATCTCGTGATCCAGGAACAGTCTGAGCGGTGATCAAATTCACTCCATGTTGTTCAGCATCTTTTCTGTCCTGATCATCGCTTCTCGAGACGTAGCAGTGGATTCTCATGCTACCACTCGTTGTCTCTGCCAAATTAATAGCTAACTCACGATTGAAAGTTGATAATCCACCTTTCGAAGATTTCCACTCGTCACAGAGAAACATGGCATCAATAAGCCTCTGTTCTTTCTTCTCTACTTCGCTACTGGTAGCCGTAGATGAGCTCGAACACGCCATTGTCAATATTGTTTTAATCTATTCCACTAATCGATAAGTTTCACTCTACTAAATAGCACATTCAAAGTAAATTCGTAAAGCACATACACGTTTCACTCCATTTAGCACAGGATCGAACGTTCGTGGCTCAATTAACTAAATGCCAAGGTATCACGGAAGTTGAGCCCATAGATCAGGGTTAGCTCTTCAGCGGCTCGAGATAATGTCATGTATACGACCGCTCATGTCACTTTCTGTTCACGTGGAGATTCACGCGACTGTAAATAAATGGAAATCTTACACGAGAACCATTAGAGAAGAAAACAATCACAAAATTTTGGTAGGCCGCTTAACATACTTATCTGTATACAGCAAGCAAAAACCCACGAGTTTCATGGCAAAGCGCTCGCTCCATACGTCATGACCTCGAGCCAAATATTATCCCGTCCGGCCCTCCCACTAGATCAATCATTATGTACATAATGCGAAATCAAAGGGCGCCTATGGCCAACTCGTGGATAAAGTATTAAAGAGATGCATACTTATAAAGTTGCTATCAGTAAACTAAGGTGTTAACAAAAAGATAGAAAGTAGAACCATTACAAGTGTAGAAATTATAGTACTTGAGTATACGATGGAACCCCTTGAGGGGGTACATGGTTCATTTTTTGCTGGACATGTGCAACTAATGGTCTTCTCAGAACCTCTGCCGTATTTTAGCTTATGTTGTGGCCAATTATAGACCCCATCCTTGTTCGCTTTTGGGAAATACAGGAATGGAATGGGAGCCGTTTATTAAATATTAAAATACGGTAACAACTTTTTTACCATGAATCTTCTTTAAGTTGATCATAGCACTAATGTGAAACATTCGAAGTCCATTTCAATTCAGTAAATGTCGAAACTGCCGTGTAAAGACCATAAAAATCGCAACGATCGATGCAATCACAATGGCGCCAGGGCTTCGGACTTCTTCGGAAGGATAGATCTCGAGTCTCGAGTTCGGAGCCGACTAATTAAGACCAAATACAAAGAGTCCACGCCAATTTGCATATCCCAAAGTGCCCATAACAGCTCGTTTCTACGCTATCGCGTATCCACGAGTTAAAAAGAGCCGAAGAAAACAAAAAATTCTTCACGTGTGTAAAGAAAGCTTGTCTTGGACGCAAATGTTTCTGAACGACGCCCATTTTCATGTTATTGCCTTGTCATAGGTCTTCTTCTTCTTGATTTTTCACTTTCAAAATTTGTTTCTTCACCTGTCAGATACGTCATCATCGGTGGTACACCTCTCCTGAGAAAAAAATCTGGATCCATTTCCTGTAAAACATACTGATTTGAGTACAGAGACCAAGAACGTACGAGTTTCATGGAAAACGAATGTGGCGAAATACAAAAAGAAAATTTTGAAAACAAAGACTTCTACACGATTGTAAAGATACCTAGTCTATGGCACAAGGGTTTCTGAACAACACCCATTTTACGGCCAAGGCAGTCTAAGCACGATGCCGTGGAACGGACGCCAAGCAAGAACTGGGCCTTTCAGAGGACCTTCGAAGCGCTCAGGTGTTTCTATCCCTCTCCAAAGAAGGAGTTACTTTTCGAAATTCGAAATAGGTGTGTTCTGATCAGATCTTTGAATCCTGGCCTTATAGTTCTAGTAAGATATGAGCTCTTCTAAGTTTAATTCTTGTTTTCAGACCTTTCTTGGTAGAGTTCTTTTCCTCACATTCCTTTACGCAATAAAGTACAATTTACTTCTACACGTGCTGACATTACTCCCTCAAGTGCGGTCATTCGTGACTGCATTCTCCTTGTAACGCTTTAGCAAATCTTTTCAACAGAGTTTATATCACTTATATTATATCACTTATATTATATCACTTAAATCAGTGTAACGAAACTATTTGCTGTGTGATGTGGTTTGAGATTCTGCTCGTACCAAATTTTTATCCTGGTTGGCCTTCTGAGATACCTTCAGGCCAGTACCATGCCACTGTTTATGTTAAATGAAGCAGAGATGGGGAACAACAGTAATAGATCCAATTTGATCTTAGAAGCTATTCTGATGTCTTGATGAGACCAGAGTCATTTTTGCAATGCGTTAAGGGTTTTAGCCGCTAAATCAACTCTTCTCTCAACTTCGGGATTTGATGAATTGATAATAGTGACATGCTCAAGTATATAACAGACTTGGTGCTTTGTGGTTTTCTCTACTGATCATTATTTCAGGTGAACGGAAGACCCTGGGATTAGACTAGTTGGACTGGTCAGAAGAGTTCAACCCTGTGGGTTTTACAGAAGTCCTGATTTTGAGGCTTGGTGAACTAAAATTCGCTTAATGTTATCAGTATCAGTAACAATCAGGACAGAGTCGCTGGTAAACAAGAGCTCTCCAACATGTAGTCTCTTGTCTTTGATGGAGCTTTGACTCTCTGACCTGCTGAACAGTTATCAATCTACACGAGTCTTTGGGACTGGTCATTATTCACTACCTTTAGTGGGGTCGGAGGAATTTGGTTGTGTGACAATAAAATTTACCTGGTCTCCCCTAAGGCTCTGTAATATTCTGATGTACCCCACCCCAACCCCCAACCGCGCACACGCACAATCACTTTATTGGTAGTCAATATGTAATTGGTAGTCAACCATGTAATTCCCAAAATTCTCTACCCCCACCCACCCCCAGGCGAATGACTGGTCCCGTAATAACTTACGCGCCTTAAATAAGAATTTGATAAGTGGTGTCTAAAATGGATTGAGCTTTGTATCAATGCGGAAGTCAAGAATTGGCAGGTAAAATTGACCTGGAAAATTATGCTGAAATGGCGGACTTTGATTTCTCCTCTTTCTCTTTCATTCATTTTGAGTTGAAGTAAAATGTGTTCATTCGCTCTCGCAGTTTCCTTGCCAAACCCAATTTAAGATCGTGGTGGTTCCATTCTGTAGCTGTTTTCAGACATAAAATTTTTTTAAGACACGTCCTTTTTGGCGGCACATATCCCTATAGCATATGTAGATAAGTACCCCTGCCAGCCCACAGCTTGATTTTCAATTGGTCCGAATCAAATTTTTGGTCCGAAGCAAAACATGTTACAAGTACAAAGTATCAAATTACAAAATCTCCAGCCTTAAAAACTTTTGTTTTCATATCTAAAAATCATAAAATATATTTATGGCGCGCCTTTCCGGTCAATATTCAAACAACCTTAATATACGATACATCCATTACATTCCTTTGCCATATTTTTTATTTCCTTTATGTAGATATATTTTTTTCGCTACTTTATTTTTCAGTTTCCTTCTATATTTTTTAAATCTCTTCCTATCAATTTAGATACACGTGTTTAACGCATCTATTTTCTATTTTTTCTCTTTATCTTATATGCGTTCTATATTTTTTATATTCATTCCATATGTTTTTTTCGTTCCGAGTGGGATTTTTTATTTTCTTTCTAATTAGTATGCAACACGTGATCACATGACCACGCTACACTTTTTGGGGCTGCCTGGTGTACCAGTACACGGGAGAATTCCTATTGTTTTCATATCCATACATGGAGTTGTGACGCAGTTCGTCAATGTTTCGTTCCTTTGTGTACCGGTACACGAGGACACAACCCACTTTTTCCATTCCGCCATTATCGGCTATATGGAGGAAGAGCTATCGACTGCTTGTCGTGCGGCCGCGGATGCTTTAGAGATTTTAAGTAATTTGAGACCTGGTTTTACGAGAAATGTAATACCTCGGATGAATTCAACGTCAGTCTCTGTCAGTCAGCCGAACAACGGGGATCGTAAGGTAAACAACGAGGAACTTCTGTCGAACGAACTTGCCATTCAGTCCTCGACGTCGCCAGCCTCTAACAGTTCTATTCAAGCTCGGCTTGCCACTCTCTTTCCGACAATTGGTTCGAACCGAGCTAGTGGGAAAAGCACTAGTAGAAGACCAGCAAGGTCAAAGCAGACCATTAAGTCGACTAAAGGCCGCCCACCCAAGACACTTGTTTACAAGGATCTAGTCCTTATTCCCAGTCCCAAGATCAACAAAGTGCCTACACATACAACCCGACTTCAGTTAGAAGAGAGAGAACTTGTCTGCCACGAGTTTCCCTTTGACAAGAGCTGGGATGCACATTCCCTCAAAGCTGCTATATTGAATCGATTTCCAAAGCTTTTGCTATTTGAATATGTCAAGGTGGGTAACTTTGCGTTGTGATATAAGTTTAAACATTGTTCTACGTTTAATGCTTTAATAATATCATTGCTGTTCAGTGTGTACATTTGTTGTGGCTGCACTATTTTTAAATACGCATTTATACTATTTTGCCAAAAATTTTACCACATAAGAGGATACCTGCAGTGACGCGAGTAATGGACTTCAATTTTTTGGCAGAATTTGTTGGGTTATTTTAGATTTCCTCTGGTACTGCCCCTGCTCCCACCCCTTTCTCCTTCCTTGTGATATAAGTTTAACTTAACTACTCTTTCATTAGATTTACCCTTGACTTTTGCAAGAAGCGTGCAAGTAATGTGTGTTTTTCTTAACCTAGCCATGCTATGGAAAGCTAATAACTCCTAAGCTGGCAGAAGGCATAACTCTGGATGCAGAAAGAGTGACCAGGATGGCTGGTCAAGGAGCTGTTTATGTTAGATCACTGGTGCCTTTGGAATTTGAAGATGAGGGTGAAACTGAAGAGGAGCTAGAGAATTCAGCATTAGATAACAGTCCAAGGTGAACTTTTTCTTGTGAATTTTTGCACTGAACAAGATAAAACCTGTATAGATTTCTTTTAGCTTTTTTGCCTCACTGCAAAGGTAGCTTCCCGTTGCAGTGGAATCATCTTATATATGATAGACTGGCATCCCAGATCATGCTACTAGGCATGACAATGGCTTTTTGTTGGAAATATTATCTAGTTTGTCTCCAAACAGATTTGTGTATTTATTTATTTTATTGGTTATTTATTTATTTATTTGTTTGCTCAGATCTTTATTCAATTGTTTGGCTGGACAGGACATAAATTAATTTGGTTTATTGCAACTCCATGTGATTGTGGATATTTGTATAAAGATGAACCTTCATAGTCTGTTACATCATTGCCAATTAGTTCCCTTTTTTTATGGTTTGTGACAAGTTGATATTTCCTTTTAGTGTTAGTGGAGCACAAAGAAGCTCTCTGTTGCTTTCATTTGGGGAGAGTGAAGGGAGGCCAGATGCAGCTGTGGTGTCCCACCCCTGCCAGGATGCTGCACAACCTTATTGTGTACCATTTCCAACTGAAGCAGAAACATCACATCAAAATACAGAGTTAAATGATGTAGAGACAGGCAGTAACTCTGATATTGTTCATGCATCATCTGAGCATGTACCTGTGTCTGTATCAGTACCTGTACCTCAACTGTTACCAAAACGTATCATCCAAGTGCACAGGCTAAATATTAAGAAGGATTTGATTGACTTATTCCGAGATCCATTAATTATGAGTCAGGACATAGAGATAATTGTTATTGATGCTAGGGGAGTTGAAGAAGTGGGCAGAGGTGTTGGGTTGCTCAGAGATGTTTTCTCTCTTTTTTGGAAAGAAACATATGATTCCCTTTTTGTTGGAGAAAATGAGCGTGTACCATTTGTAAGACATGATTATCAAAGGGATGAATGGGTTGCTGTTGGCAGAATTTTGGTGAAAGGATATTTAACCTGTCAATACCTACCAGTCCTTCTGTCTCAAACATTCCTTGCCTGTCTTTTTTGGGGGGAGTCTGTTGTAACTAGTGCTATGCTGACTCAATCCTTTAGAAATTACATTTCAGTTGATGAAAAATGTTTGATTGACAAGTGCCTTGCTGGTGATATGAAGTGGGATGATGAAGATGAAATGTCCCAGCTTTTAGAAGTTTTTAGAAACTATGACTGTCGAATTATGGTAAATTCTGAGAATATTATTCAAGTTATTGAAGAAATAGCCCATAAGGAGCTGCTGCAGAAGCCACAGTATATTGCAGACTGCTGGAAGGATATAGTTTCCACACTCCTTCCTAGTTTTCCTGATTTTGCAGCAATTTCCAAAAGGTATGAATTGTTAATACCATCCACAAGCAAAATCCTTAGTTGCCTAGAGGCAAACCCTGAGAGTGATGGGGAAAGGGATGGCCTTAAGTTTCTCAAACGGTATATTAAGGGCCTTGACACGCCTCAGAAATTGTCAAAGTTTGTAAGGTTTATCAGTGGGTCTGAGTTAATGCTTTTGACGCAGTCCAAGTAAATTTACCAACTTATCTGGTTTGGGTCGCCGACCAATTGCCCACACTTGTAATACTGTGTTGGAGCTATCCTCGACTTATCAGTCATTTCCTGAACTTAGAGAGGAGTTCAGTGCAATACTTGCATCAGATTATTGGGAAATGGATATTGTGTAATATGCCTTGTGACAAAAAGAAGACCATTATGATGGCAAGCTGATAGAACAGACTGTTAATTCATTTTTGTAGTGAAATTATGTTTTCTACCTTGGATGGGTATTTACAATTTTAAAACATCTAACAACAGTGCACATATTGTTTTCCAGTAAATCAAACTGGGAAATCGTTAGCTAATATATTGTTATCTGTTCAAAGTTGACATTTTCAAGTGAGCGCAGTTGTTTAGAACTTTATTGTTGAGATTTTAATGTATTTTTTCTTGACTGTTGTAAAGGTTAAGTTGCATTCGTTGTTCTATTCTGATTGATACAATTTGAAGGCAATTAATAAATTTAACACTGTTTACGTTTTCAATCTGTAATAGTGGTACCTGTTTGATAGGCGTTAATTGATCTTAATTCTCTTGGCCCTGTTTTCACTCTCTAAACAACGAATTTCAGGTTAATTGAATGCTGGGAACACCTGTTTTGTTAGATAGTTACCAGCCAAGTTTCTTATATGTTGAACTGATTCCTGAGGATGTCTATGCATCTCAAATATTGAGTTCTACCATGTTCACCATCGTCATTCAAAGGGTAACAGGAGACTTCCAAGATATGCAGTTGTTCTGGTGTGAGGTGAACATCAACTGCTGGTATTGAGACCTGGTAATCGTCGTCGTCTAACGGGATAGGTCCATCTGGATCAAACCCATACAATGGAATTTCATTTGGATGTAGAATACTCTCAACTCCAGAGTATCCAGAGTGCATGTTTTCCAAAATCCCAGAGGCAAAAATTTGTAGGGGAGATAATTGATGTTCACTGGAGACAGGGTGATTGTTCCATTGACTAGTAAAGTGTTGCAATGCCCTATTTATCCTTGGTATGTATACAAAGTGCAATGAAAATAAATGTACTTCATTTAACGGGTCAAGAAGACCCATGTCTTCCATTCCCCTAAAGATATTGGCAAAGTGACAAAGGACACCAGCGTAAACATCCTTGTGAGCACGCTCAACGCGGCAGTTGTGGACAGAGCTTCCCGTTATGATACTTCCTCTGTTTAGTCCTCTATTTTCCAACATGTACTGTGCCACTCTAACATTTTCCAGTCCATGATCGCTTCTTACTCTTGAAGGTAAGCCAAACTCTTGTACTCCCTTGATGAAGAGCTCCAACACTGTATCTGCTCGGTTGTTATCAGTTAGGGTGGCATACACAATAACCCTTGAATACCCATCAACACAGCAATGCACTACAAACCTGTACCTGGTAAGCTTGTGGTTTCCGTCTATGTGCCACAAAGCGTTTGGCGTTGGTACAGAGTACTTTCGACGGTAAACCGGAGTACTCCAGCGAAGTGCTGTCCCAAGCGGGTCTTGTCTACGAAGACAGTAACGAACCCTCCATCGCTGGATTCGAAATCCCCTTGCTCGGAGAGCTCCAAGCAATCTTCGTTGTCCAATGTTTGGAGTAATGCTTCTAATTTCTTTGACAGCGTCTTCAAGCTGAGAATCTGAAAAGAAGTTCTAGTTTAATTACAAAGTTTGAAGTGTCGTACATCATTGAGTGAGATGGGGAACCTAAAATATTTTGACTAAGGGTATGGCTTCTAAGATTTATTTTACCCGAAACTATATCGCCCTTGTCCAAACACACTGATAATAAGCATTAAACCAAATAAGCTACTAGTATAGATAACCTTAGTCTGTAAATTACTGCGCACCTGACAATGCGGACCAGTTTTCGCTGTCATCATCCAAATTTAATTCCCGTCTTCTTCGACGTAAAGTACTTTCACTGATACCTAACAAACTAGCGATTTTTACCCAGGAGAAATGCAGTTCGCGTAAGAATTCGATCTGCTCTCTTTCGATGACGATTACTGGTCTTCCTGCACTTGTTAGTTTAGTGGTAGGACAAGCGAATGAATTTGATATCGTTGCTTCAACGGAATTTCTTTCCTCGTACTTTGTCATTGCACGAAAAACAAAGCGTACTTTTGTCAAAACAGCTTCTATTATTGTCTTGAAATCTCGAAGGACAGAGTCCTCACTTTGCCATACACTATGCAATAGCAACTGTAAAGTTAAAATTGCATCTTCCAGACGCACGTTAGCTTGTTCAAAGTAATCAGCGGAGACATCTTGTGTGTTCAAATTCTGAATACCAATCAACAGGGTACGAAGAGACTCTACGAAGTTGTAAAGGCCTCTCTCGTTGCCACCTCTTAAAGTTCCATCCGCCATTTTGCTTTTGAAATTGTCGGAAAAGTGCATCGCGGTCATGTGATCACGTGTTGCATACTAATTAGAAAGAAAATAAAAATCCCTCTCGAAACAAAAAAAAAAAAAAAATATGGAATAAATATAAAAATATAGAACGCATATAAGATAAAGAGTACAAAATAAAAAAAGATGAGCTAAACACGTATATATAAAATAATAGGAAGAGATATAAAAAATATAGAAGCAAAATGAAAAATAAAGAAGCAAAATAAAACAGCTACAGAAAGGAAATAAAAAATATGGCAAAGAAATGTAATGGATGCATTGTATATTAAGGTTGTTTGAATATTGACTGGAAAGGCGCGCCATATATATTTGTAAACTATATGTTTTGTTGTAACTTTTAAGACAACAATTTCTCATTTTTTTAATTATAAAACATCTACATTACATTCCTACCTATTCTATTAGTATAGGTAATCACACGATTTCGAGTCAAACTTGGAATAGATAAGCACGAGTAAATTTTTTCAAGGACTAACAAAATTGCACGAACCCGAAGGGCGAGTGCAATTTGTGGTCTTTGAAAAAATTAGCAAGTGTTTATTTATTCCAAATTCCACGAGGAAATCATGTGATCACGTATTTATAATATACATGAAAAAATATGAGATAACTTTTCATAATTACTCAGGTTAATTAAGGCCTGGGTCAAAAATGATTTTCGCCTCCAGTGCCCCCCCCCCCAGCAAGGTTCGCGGAATTCGCGTGGACTGCGCGAGTAACCATAGTTACTTGGAATCAAGATCGCGTAGTTCTTGAACGGCATCCGCCATTTTGAAGTGTCGGCTTTGCATTGGTTTTTCCCATCTTCGCTGGTGAATCCGACAATCTAGAGGAAGACATCAAAAGAAGGTAATAACATTTTCTTTGCTATCTTCATTTCCTCAAAAAATGCCATGATATCGCTATCTTAAAGCCAAAGAGAACCCTTTTGAACCTACGAAGACTTCTAAGCACCGCTACACTGGAAAAATTATCAAGTTTTCATGCATGTATTATTTATGGTTTTTTGGTGTTTTTGCTGTGGTTTTTAACAAAATACCATGTGTGGAAAAAGTACTCTTTTTCCACACATGGTTTTTGCACAAATCCACTGATGGTTTCTAAACTTTCCAAATGTGGAAATTATGCATACACAACATTGGGATTTATCATGGTAATTGGAATTCCCAAGAAAGGAAATCGCAATGTCCAAGATTACTTATCCCACTATGGAAAATGAAATACCATGGCAGGTTTTTCTATGGTCAAGCCCACAGATGGATAAAATTTACCACACTTGGAAAGTGGTTTTGTAGGGAAGCATGTTAATCACAATTTCCATGGAAGGAAATCTAGATTTCCAATGGAAAGGACCACATTGTGGTCACTTTAATTACCATGGCAGGTTTTTCTATGGTCAAGCCCACAGATGGATAACATTTACCACACTTGGAAATTGGTTTTGTAGGGAAGCATGTAAATCACAATTTCTATGGAAGGAAATCTAGATTTCCAATGTAAAGGACCACAGTGGTCACTTTAATTACCATGGCAGGTTTTTTGTAATGAGGCGAGTAGTGATTGAAATGTACTAAGTGGTGTATTCTAAAGTAAAAGTCACAACAAAGAAGCATTTAAGTAATGAAATTTATAATTTCGTATATGCAACAATGTACTGTAACTGTAAAGTAAAAAAAATAATAATAAAATACCAAGTACATTGAAAACCAATCTGGTAGTTAAAAGATTGCGACTGAGGAACTGACCCAGCCTGTACAAGAAACCTTTTCCTTTTTAAGATGATCTCTGACCCCAGGCCAACTTCCAGATGAGCAATGTTTAAGATTAAGAGCACACACAATTGCCCAGATAATGGAGTTCTTTACTAGCTTTTTTAGTTGTTTCAACCGCCAAAATATCTTGAAGATCTCTAAACAATTGCAACTAACAGGGTTTCAATGCATTATCACAGGATGCCTGTGTGACTTTCAAAGTGAAAAACATCCATTACTTCAACATTAAACCATATGTTGGATAAAAGGCAATTGTGTAGCTCTGATTTATATATAAGCTCAACAATTTTTACAAAATATGATCAACAGAAAACATCAACATTATTTGTCCATGTACATGAAAGGAGTCCATACTTTTACAGATAATTTTTTTTGGCCACTTTTAACTGATCTCTCCTTTGTCCACTTCCACATAACCATGTTCCAGGAGAGCATTTGCTGTTGCCGCTATATAGGTCTTTTTTTTTTTCCTTTTAGGAAGTTTAACACAACATTCTTGAGATTTTTTAATTCCTTGGATCTTTGTCACAGATGGCTTGACCAATGAAACCATACTAGTATCGCACAGTCACATGATGCCTGTACATGTGTGACCAGTTCTGTAGTGAGGCTCAACAATTCTTACAAAATTTGATCCATAGTAATTTAACATCAACATGTGTCAGTTCTGCAGTCACTGGCTCAATTATTCTTACAAAATATGAACCATAGTAAACATCCACATAATTTGCACATGTGCATGTACATGAAAGGAGCTAGCGCTGTCTATACATTTAGAGATCAATCTTTTTGGCC